TGTACAACGCTTCGTTCCTGGACCGTTGGGCTCATCTGGAACAAAAGCGTACCTCAGAGATCTGGATTTCAGATTGAGATCTTATCCTAATGCTACGGTAGAAGATAAGATCAGTCTGATACGACTCACATCAGACAGAGAGGTGTTTACCTTCATCGAGCGTCTACCAGATGCAACGAGAAGGGATTACAAACTTCTGTGTGATGCCCTGATCAAAGAGTACGACTCCTGCACAGGACCAGCTGGATACCCAGCCGCAGAAAAGGTCACGCAGGGTAAAGCTGAACATCCAAAAGTTTATTACAAAAGAATCTTCCAAGCTTATTTTGGTAACAGAAATGATACCGGAATGGAGGAAGAAGAAGGTTTTAAGTTTGTTTTCAGCAAAAATCTCCACACTGATTTTAAACAATCAGTACAAATGATGGCAAATTTCAGAGAAAAATCCATCAGTGAGATTAAGCAGTGTGCTGTGAATGTGTTTGAAGCAAGTTCTCATGCTAAGACGCCCATTGAAGTGTTTCCAGGTGTAAAGGTTAAACCCCACTCCCTAGAAATGGAAGGAAGGTGCGAGTATCCACCTCCTCCTAAGAAGGAGAGAAAACAGTCTGTTCAAAATAACAAACCACGTAATGAAGGTGCACGTTGGGACAAAAATGCTCCTCTTTCAGAGGATGAACGTGATTATCGTAAAAGGGGTGAGCGTAGGACGCAACGATATGGGAAACCATATCATCAGGGGCAGTACGTGAAGGAACCCCCGGAAGACGTACCTGACCGTCCCCCCACCTCGGACGAAACGAACCGAGGCGAAAAAATCACAAAAGTTCCAGAAACAAGGCCCTACACCTCTGAACTCGGAAGAGACAGAGAAAATACGCAGGTTGTTAGAAACTTTGAAACACACTGACACGGGAACCCATCCAGGAGCACTATGCAGTAATGTAATTCCCATTACATCTGAGGGCGCGAATGACAACATAACAGATGTCGGTGGAACACACCAAGACATAACTGTTGTTGCCTCAAACAACCCCTCATCAGAAGAAGGGGGGGTAAACACACACACAAACGATGACGAGTCATCGCAGGCTGAACACTCAGAAACAGCTTCTGCTGTGCTGACGGTTCAGACAAACCAAGATTACACAGATAAGGCTGAACGCGCGAAGAAGCGTCAGAAAAAAACCAAAAGGTTTCTGTGTAACTTTATCAGAAAGGGGGTCGCCAAAAAGGCGTACCTGTCAGTAACACTCGAAGGTGTCCTCACACACGAAGCACTCTTGGACGGTGGGGCAGACATAACAATTATGTCAGCTAAACTGTTCGAGGAGCTGAGGACGGCCGCTGCCAGTGTTAACAGGATAATACCTCTCTCTGAATGTGCTATAGAAATGCAGGGTCTCTCAGAAATGAAAACAACCCTGACAGCTATAGCAATGGTTCACATGCAGATTGGCAATATGACACTGTACCACCCGGTACACGTGACCCATGTTGACTCATTCCCATTTTTGGTTGGCCAGGATTTTATAAATCGCTTTAACGCGATTATAGATTATGGTGATCAAATAATGTGGACAAAAGTGAGCAAACCACTGCCAATAGATACGCCTCCGGAGTGTGACACAGACTGCCCAACAGCAGGTACCGCGGAAGGCACAAAGGACTCCTCAGCCGAGGACACGAGCCCGGTGAGTACTCCTCTGACATCATGTGAAACCAAAGAGACCCACCAAGTGGTCCAAACTCTGACTCAACAAGACAGCATCCTCTGTGAGCTGGAGCAGCCAGAGTCCACCAAACACTACCTACCACTGGTAGTTAAGGGTGTAGAGATCCAAGGGTCCCACACCAACGATGCTGTTCTGTCTCTGTGGACAGATAAATCAGCAATTAACCAAGCTTTCTACGAAACCTTGGTTCACAAACACGTTGGTCTAGAACTAATTAAAAAAGCTTTCCGCTTTCCATTAGTTCCCAATAGTTCACAGGTAATGACCGCAGAAGGAGTCATTAACCTAAAACTGAACTGGAA